TCCTGCACAAAGCTACCCTGAGTATCAGGCGTTTCTGGGGGAAAAGGGGAAAGATGGAAGCGAAAAAGGCAGAGAGCCAAAGGAGAGAAACGCCTGCTGACACAGATGCTTTTACTGGAGTCTTCCACCCCTACACAGCATGATTCGATACCGTCCAATCAAAATCACTTCCGGTCATTGGTTTGTCAGCTTCACGCGTCAAAAAGCTCGCCTAAAATTGTAAATTGCTTTTGTTTACAGAGTTACAACGGGCGCTCATTAATAAGCAGGTTCCTGAGAGTCTGGCTGCTAAAAAGCTGATGTAGATCAGGCCGAGAATCGTCCGAGGGAAAATCTATATTTCTCTTAAGGTTTTGTTGGTTATCCCTCGTATTCTCGGGCGGTTGAAAGGAGCTGCAAGAATAAATAGGAAGGTGCGATGGTGAAACACCTATGCCTAGAAAATTATAAATTAAAAGAAGCAGCAAATTCCACCACTTCTCAGAGAACTTGTGAAAGCTGTTACAAGTTCAGTTAAGAAAGAAGTGAGAGCCTATGGCAAATTCTGGAAGAGGAAGCGAACGTTTTGCAATCACGTACGCCATCGTAACCGCCACTAGCAAAGTCAAGCTTGGTGCTGTCGGCTATTCTCAATACATGGCTACCTTGCTCTAATTTTATTAACAGTAACAATACCCTTTCAACGGCAGGATGTTGTAAATCAGAACTTAGATATCCGAAGCACTGATATCGTCTTCTTTGTCCCGCTCTTGTGAAACCAATACTCGGACAGAGTTTCGGAAGAAACTGGTACATGAGGCTTTTCCATACTCCGAGAACATCGTTCCTTTTAACTACAAGGCTTTGAAAAGACAATTCTTGCTCGGGTTTTATTTTTATTCCAGGAAAGAACGTCCATAAAAGTACCACAATAAATCAAAATACTATGAAAAACTTCAATGACTTCTCCTTGCAGAACGCTCTGCTCGTATTTACTAGGTTTTGGATGTGTCACATGATTTGCTGAATGGTTTTGTCATGCCTTCCTTTCTCTTCTCCCCCCTCCCCGCTCCCCCATCTAAAATCTCCTCTCCCCAGCACAAAGCTATTGAGTGTACACGTGGACCAGCACCTGACCTGGAAGACGCATGTACACCATGTGTTGAGTTCATCGTACGGGACACTGTCAGTACTGCGAAGGCTTAAAAATCTGTCCCCTTTTCATGTGAGAGCTTAGTCCTCTCGAAAGTGAACTATGCATGCTCTGTTTCCCACCCCCTTCCAGCATTTCAAATGAAACGCCTCCAAAGGCTACAAAATGAATGCGCTGGATTTGTCACAAGAAGGTTCGCAGGAGTGAAGGACGTGGTAAAGTTGAACTGGCTTCCAGGGAATAAGAACGTTGAACTAAATATACTTAAGTTAACTTATAAGTCGCTGTATTATGAAACGTTTCCTGAATGTCTTAAATTAAATTTAAACAAGGTCAGTGCTTATAGCTTAAGATCTTCGATTGCGCTTGTCCTTTCTATTCCGAGAGAATCAGGAATATTTCAGCACTCGGCAGCAACTATTTTTAATAAGNGTCAGTACTGCGAAGGCTTAAAAATCTGGCTCCTTTTCATGTGAGAGCTTAGTCCTCTCCAAAGTGAACTATGCATGCTCTGTTTCCCACCCCCTTCCAGCATTTCAAATGAAGCGCCTCCAAAGGCTACAAAATGAATGCGCTGGATTTGTCACAAGAAGGTTCGCAGGAGTGAAAGACGTGGTAAAGTTGAACTGGCTTCCAGGGAATAAGAACGTTGAACTAAATATACTTAAGTTAACTTATAAGTCTCTGTATTATGAAACGCTTCCTGAATGTCTTAAATTAAATTTAAACAAGGTCAGTGCTTATAGCTTAAGATCTTCGATTGCGCTTGTCCTTTCTATTCCGAGAGAATCAGGAATATTTCAGCACTCGGCAGCAACTATTTTTAATAAGCTCCCTATAGCTATTAGAAACATAACTGAGTACAATTCCTTCTGTCATAGTGTGAAGAAACACCTTTTATGTAAGGAACTTTAAGTAGCAAACACAATTTTAAATATGTATATATTCTATTTAAATTTTTATTTTTTAGAGTAGATTTATAGTGTAGGATACTCTGCAATAAATCATTATTATTACTATAGTTGATCAGAAGATAAAGGCGTCATTTTAGTACATTTATTCTTGCTGCATTTATATAAGAATTATATAGAAAAGGCATGATAACAATACATTCTATTTAAGAGGCTGGCCATATATACCTAGCATTGCCTAGTCTGCTATAGTCAATATACATGATGGGTACCCAACGACGGTTTCCCCCTAATTACTTTGAAAACACTTTTTAGGCTATCCAGAGTACTTTTAGATCTCTAGAAATGTATTCTAAGTGGCGCTGAGAAATTTATATCTGTTCGGTCATCCTAGGGTAACTTGAGTCTTTTCGAAGTTACGAGGGCTTCAGTATTATTTTCCCGAAAATTCTAGCAGCAATGTAAAGTTTTCCGAAAGTAATAGATTTTCTGATTCCTTTCTCCATTGCATTTTCGATTCCGAAAATTTTAGGTTTTCTTTCTCTACGAAAAATAACCTAAACTGGGGAGTGAAATGGGAAAAATGAAACTTCAGAAAATCGTAGGGAATTTATTAGATAAGCTTCGAAAATTGTGTACATGAATGGAACGGTCGTCAAGAAATTTTTAGCCTTCCTCAAGCTATAGAAAATTCTAGAACAGATATTTCACAGAAAACAGTCGTTGGGTGCCCCTGATACATGTATACGAACTTAGTAAACATAGAAGTTCTACGTACTAGGGCTGTAAATGTAATATAAATTACAAGTTGAAGAAAATCGACGTAAATAAATGAATTTAAGAGCTAATAATACTGTGGCGAGTTAAATTAGGGACTTAAAGATCAAACAACGCGACGGCAACGAGATAGTCGCTTAAACAGTGAATTTACGTTCCTTCAGTCTCATAGCGATTATTCCAATCACTTAGTTTGTCAAATGTAAGCGAACCCTCCTGAAGAGAAAGAGAAATAAAATTTCGTCATTGCTTGTTTAAGTCCTCCATAAAACTGACGCAAAAATTAGGTATTTTCACGTCGTAGTCGTGCAAAAACAGGAAAGAAATGTACAAAAAATCGTGATGCACGAGCGAAGTTGTTGTTTTGCTTATTAAAACAATTGTTTTTTGACGTTCTCGCTGCCGTCCGCGTCGTCGTTACAAGTATACGACTGGCAAACTTTGAAATGGTGTAATAGCTCCAGGTACTTTTTGGATAAGCTGCATAGGATATTTCTATAACTATTCTTAAAGACTCCCAGTGAATTCTTCAATGAGTCCATTAAATTCTTTGTAAAATTTCAAGCTTTCGACAAAGAATATTCGGCATTATGGCGATTGAACTTTTTGCAAAATATCACGTCAAAAATGACATAAATTTTTGTAACTACATTAGAAAATACTTAAAAGATTTTCCTATACATAAACACAAGCACACATAAAATAAATCGTCGTATAGTCTATCATAAAAAGGTCAAACAAGATAGCATATAAGAATAGGCATTTCATGGTAAATAAAAAAGTTGCAATGGTGGTATATTATAAATCCATATTATATCAAGTGAGTAGTGTCACGTCCATTAAAACTTGGTACTCTAGCGTCTATAGTATGTTTTGTTTTCCCCTCTTTCAGATCACATGATGGTACCCAAGAGAACTGTTTCGCCTTCTTAGGGGATGATTACACGGCGAATGTCAGCCTGGGCTTAAATATTATTGCGATTTCATGACGAATTTCAAATTTATCGCCTTTATTCCACTGAAATCTTTTCTCCTTCGCGGCCATCTTGTTTCCTAGAAAACAACCTCACCGCGCATGCTCACGTTACCTTTTCAGCCCCGGCTGACACTCCATTTCGATTGCATGGACTTTTTGCGGATTTTTCAGCCCTTGCCCGGGCTGAAAATCCTAGCTTGGTTTCAGAAACCGGGCTTCCGGGCTAGGATTTTCATCCCGGGCTGAAACCTTCTCCATGTAATCGTCACTAATTCATAGGCAACACCGTACATAGGCTATGTACACAAAACCGAGTGATACCTAACCTCTGGTTAAGAAACTTTGATGTTTCTCGTCACTCACCAATTCTAAACCATGATAGAATATTTTGAGAAAAATTCGCATAAATTTTGAAACAATTAGAGGAACGCTTTCCCAAGATTCAGCAGCACCATCAGTATATCAAGCTTTGTCGAGAGTCTAGCTCAAGGCGGCTCGAGGATTCGATTGTTTTGGGAAACTAATCGAGGCTAGTATGCGCGTATTCTGCAGCTGGAGAGAAGGCTTTTTAACTTTCCAGCTCCGCTTTCGGACTGCCGCGTATTTAGCCTGTGTCAAATCATGCCCGTGAGTCATGCATTGTCTCACGAAATTTTTTAAGTGTCGAAACGGCGTCGATCTGCCCAAGAAACCATAGCCGCTCATCTGCGAAGCCATTCTTATTTTCTTGATCACTTGGTAATTCTAAATGAAGATAGAATACTTTGAAACGATTAGAAAAAGGGATTTTGCAGAAATTCTAGAAAATTTTCTGACTGCCGGGCATTTAGTTTTTTAAAGACCCTTCCCGGTTGCTGGGCATGTAGCCAATTCGTTTATTTAAAGTACATAGTTTAGGAACGGACCATTAGAAAACTTATGGGGGGGGGGGGGGGGGGGTAGGGGGGGGGGGGGGGGGGGGGGGGCGGGCGAAGTAACAAAAAAATATATTCGCGCAAGGGAAAATTAAATGAAAAAAATATTCATGCACGCCAATTAATCCTAAAAAATATTCATGCTATGGCCTGAAAAAAATACATACAAAGAATTTGATAACGAAAAAAATTCCTGCGGCTCGAAAATTCCCCTCCCCCCCCCATAACTTTTCTAATGGTCCATCCCTAAAATAGCTAGACGGCTGTCACCAAAGCTTAATTAATTGATATTAACTTACTACACACTCACTTCCACCTATTTTATCATGGAACTTTCTTGCAGCAAATTCGTCAAATATTCTTTTTGCAAAATCCTTACAATTATTCTCCAGCAAGTCATACTTTATATTTAGTTCATCCGTATCATAAAGAAAATGTATCAGGTCCTCTAATGTTTTACGTCCTTTATCATAACTCATTGGAGTCACGAACTGTTTTCTTGGCTCACTACTCACAAAATCTCGAACCGTGGAAAGGTATTTGCCTCTCTGAATAAGAATTCTCTTGTCATCTTTCTCGATGGACCACCACCAGCTCTGCGTTTCAAACACGACAAATTGATGGTTCAAGAACAGTTTAGTCAATTGCCACTCACTGAGTGGGCATTTATAAATCCAGATTTGTAGGATCTCCTCGCTGGTATCGATCAGCTCACCCATAACCTCCGTCAGAGAATTATCTTCAATAGTGTAGAGTGTGGAAGAGCTTGGATCAAACAGATTTACTTCTCTTGCCCAGTTTTGACCATGTTTGGCTGCTATTTTGTCACTTAATGCCATTGCAATAGTCTAGAAAATTAAGGCATAAAATTATTCCACTTTAGAGATTTTAAAACACAGTTATAATGAAATGATATTTGCTAGACATTCCTCTATTATGTACCTTGATTTCAGTGAAGCTTTAAAAGGAATCCTGCCTACGGAGACAGGCTGTGTCTTTTTTGTTATTCCTGCAGACAGAGATGACGTAAATTGCTCTGACTAGAGAGCCTATTAAAAACATCTAAGACATAGTAACAGGCAATAAAAGAAAGTGATAAGAGCAAACAGTATTACAGTCAGCAGCCAGCAGCCAGAATGCCAGTTATTAAGTTTCGAGATCGACAGTACTGCATCAATGAGTTACTGCCCGAGTGCTTTACAAAAACTCTTAAAGACCACTGATTTCATTTCACCTATTATTTGATCAAGTAGAACTGAGCAATAATTATTGCTTTTTTAAAACTGCATAGTAAGTCAGAGGCGGGAAGGACTACCTTTACCTTGAATTTCAACTTCCTTTACAGAAAATCAGAAATGAGCCTCGCATAATAGGTAGCAGGTTATTTCAAACAATTGTGGTCTTTATCTTTTTCAGCATCGCTGTATTGCTGTTTTTTAATAAACTCTAACAATAGAAGCTGCAGGAAAAAGCGTTCTTAAAATTCCAAGGTAAATAATGGCTGTGTCTTACTCGTAACCCCCATATCATATCGTAGATCTTTTAGTGCAACTTACCCTTGGCTTATTTCAAACTTTGCCAGATTTGCTAGTTCCTGGGCTATTCTATTCTATCAAGAAAGAAAATGCAAATTTTATTTACTTAGGTACTGGTTAGTTTAACTTTCTCTAGTAAACCTACCGAAGCACACGGCTGATTAGAGACGTCCAGGATGAATTACGGAAGTTTGGCTAGTAGCTATAATTTGCTTTGCGGACACTTAAATCAGGCTGCCAGGCCCCCCAACTTATAAGCCCAGCCCAGTTCTAGATCAATCTACCTAGACAAGAAAAATATATCAGATTATAAGCCCCCCGCGAAGTCTCCCTCCGATATGTATTGAAACGAATTCGATTAATTGTGACGTTTTTTAAAACCTTTTAAACCAGTACATACAAAACGTATTTTTTGATCAGCACTGCTTAGCATGTTTCGAAGCGCTTTTTCTATTCCGGTTATACGCCCGCTCTGATATAAGCCTCTCCGTATATAAGCCCTACTACCCCTTAGGAAGAGGTATTAGCCCAGGGCTTGTGAGCGGCAGTTTATGGTATGTGCCAGCATATTTCGCAATCGTGACGGCGTTAAAGATAGGACTGAACGTCAATAATAACCTGTTGCAGCCGTTCAGATTGTGGGGCGGTGCAAGAGATGTGAGCAGGTCCCTGTCTTTCGCTTTCATTTATTTTCTCGCTCTCTTTCTTCGCACCACAGCTCCATGCCAGCATGGACGTCTGAAACAGGTAACGTCAATAAGCAACCTATACCTCCGTGAGTAGTTCTTTATCTTTGTTGCCTCAGGCAGAGTTTATTTGTGTCAATAGTAAGAACAGTTTCACTGAAGAAAACTATACCTAAACGTTGTGGAGCCGAGTCACCAGGGGTTTGAAACTGTTAGTACGCAAAAACTTCTTAAGACCGGCTGCGCTGATGGCTGTTTCCTTGTTGC